GCGCCACTCGGCCGGCCCAACTATGGCCCATTTTTAAGTTTTCTACACATACCTCTGAATTTATGACTAATTTATTGTCATCTCACTTATCATAGGATTCTACTCTCTCCTGCACATTGTGGTCTCCTCTAAGTTATGATACCACTGAATCTTTCAAAGGGTTTTTCATAATAACAGTTAAAATTTAAAGGAAGTTGCCACCTAACCACATGAGAAGAGGATAAAAAAAAAATCTTCCAGAGGATAAGAAAAATGATGGCTGCACAGAACAATTCTGTTGTCAGAAAAGGTTGCTGTTGGGATATAAATTCTGACTTTTCTATTGTTATTTTCTGTTCTTTCCCATATTCTGAAAATGTCTTAGCCCCAGAATTTCTAAATACCAATCCTTACCTCCTCTTTCCTTCCTGTTCAATCAAAAAAAAAAAAAAGTCCCTTTACCACACATCATACAAATCTTAAAAACAAACAAACAAAAACAAAAAAAGTGCTTTAAAAGGGCAGGTACAGACTATAGTTGAGTGAAGCAGGCAGTTTTAAGAAAAATACACCCAATAACAGCAATAGACCCTCTGTAAAAGAGAGGGAAATATGAGGGCGGGGACTGCAGCAAATTGGAAAAATGCTGAAACCAACAGAATTCTGAGACATTCAGAAATCAAATATGTCACAGTGCCTTTGGAAGTAGTCTTAAGTATATTCACTTTAAAAGTCGTATACTACAATTGTACTTTGATCACTCACTGATATTAGGATTAGCAGATCAAGTTTGTTAAAAATATGTACTATTTTGTGTGTATAAATGAATAAATTGAGGGGCTTGTTTCTGCGTATCAGAGAAATCTCCATCAACGGCAAACAGTAAAAGTAACTGAATAGAGGTAACTCAAACACGAGGTAAGGACTTCAGGATTGTTTTTTGTTTTTAAACTTATTTTTTTTAACTTATTTATTTTTATTGGGGAACAGTGTGTTTTTGCAGGACCCATCAGCTCCAAGTCAAGTAGTTGTTTCAATCTAATTGTGGAGGGCGCTTCTCAGTGGCCCATGTGGGGATTGAACCAGCAACGGTGTTATGAGCACTGCACTCTAACCAACTGACTTAACCAGCCGCCCCAGGACTTTAAGGTTTTTTAGGAAAGAAAGACAAGGAAAGAGATAAGACAGAATAGACCACATTAAGTATTTTATAGAATCAAAAAGAAAACAAAGATGAAAGGATAAGTGATTAATCAAGGCTGAAACATTCTAGGTACCTAGTTGTCTTCAACTGGGAAACAATAATACATAAGCTGAATATGAGTGAACTGCTACCATCAATTGAAAAGTAGGATTTCTTTAAAATATTAATATCTAATGTAAGATATTGAATAACATTAAACACACATACAAAAATACTTTATTTTCTATATATATGATGGTGGGGACTCACATAAGGAAGTGATTGTTATGCTTACAAATACTCAGATTTACAAATAAAATCTTGGTTCTACAGACAATATTTCATAATTCTCAAACACAAGAAAATGTACTATTTCCTTCCAAATACAAAAAGGAGGTCATCTGCAGAAGCCTGAATAGGCACGGAATCACAGGACTAGATCCTGGGGGTGGCCAAGCCTCTTATGTAAATCTAGGTTTCAAGAGTTTGAGAGGCTCCCGAGTAGATGGATTATAACCTTTAAGGTTCCTTCTAACTCTGTGATGCTATGAAGACAGGAAGTGCTTACTGAGAAACTGCATCGACACTGAGGGAATACAAAAAGTAAGAGTTAAAGCTCCTTGTTACAGTCCCTAACTTGAGAAACTGCTGGACAATAAATTCGATCTTTTACCTATTAATCTTCATCTGATGTTAAATGACTGAGAAAATGTGCTTAACAGGCAAAACCCAGTGCAGTCTTAAATACATATATTGCTTTCCTTTCCAGGCTAATCAATAATGTTGCTAGAGAATAAAAACATGACCTGATCCATTTCTGTGGAAAACACTGAGTTTGGTCAATATTCTCTTTGAAGAACAATCAGAAACAGCTTCCTAAATTGTCCGTAGTTCTGTTCTTCCAAGGAAATCATTCTTTTTTTTTTTTTTAAGATTGTTTTGGGGAATTGGGGGAGGGGAACAGCATTGGAAAATCGGGGAAGGGGAACAGACAAGTTGCTGTCCTTTTGTTCTTCAGTCTAGTTGTGGAGGACGTTGCTTCACTGGCCCATGTTGGTATTATCATTGCGCTCTTCACGAGTGAGGCAGATCGGCTGCCAACCACTGCATGGCCACTCACGGCGGCTCTTGGCAGCTCACACCAGCTGTCAGCCACTGACGCTGGCTGCCAGTCACACATGGTAGCTTATGGCAGCCCACTGCAGCAGGGGCTGCAGCCTACACCATCGCCGGTGACTCACAGCAGCCCAGCTCCAGGTCGAGCTGTTGTTCACCATCTTAGCTGTAGAGAGCGCAGTGTCACTGGCCCATGTGGGATCCGAACTGGGGCCCTGCTGCTCAGAGCTGGTGTCCCAAGCCAGCTCTTAACCAACGCGCCACTGGGCTGGCCCCTAAGGAAATCATTCTACTTTTATAAGTAAAACACAACCTTTTTAAGCAATTAGGAAAATATTAATACTGAAACACTGTTAAGATCATAGAGATATTATAGATCTTATGTATGTATCACAGGGAAAACTACACCTTATTTTTTATGTAAACATCATGTACTGTGTGCAATACTTTTACCATCCATATATGAATATTTTACATACATAAAAAGTTTTGCAAACAATATTGCACATAAAATATAATAAACAGATTCCAGCTTACCATTCTTTTATTCACTTACTGAAGTATTTACTGAGGGCTTATCATAATGCCAGGCATTAGGGACAAGCTATGGGGCAAAACGGGAAATGATCCTTGCCCTCAGAAATCTCCAAATTAACTGGAAACACCAATTCAAATCTTGCCAAACAGAGAAACTGTAGCTTAAGAAGCAAAACTGCAAAATCTCAGAAATTAGCAGTGATCATCCCATTGCCAGGCTCTTCTTTCCAAATGATTCATCCAACTCTGCAGTCAGTCAGTCTTGACTCATCTTTCTCACACCCACTTCTGATCCATCGGCAAATCCTCTACCTCTGAAACACATCCAAGCTGGACCATTTACCACCTCCGTTACTAATGAAGGGGTCCAAGGCACCAACTTCTCTCGCCTGGTCTCTTAAAGATGTCCATGGCATTCACCCTGAACCCTGTGAGTATTTTGCTTTACATTACAGTTGTGATTAAATTAAGAACCTTGAGAAGGGGAGATTATCCTGGATTATCTGGGTGGATCCAATGTAACTATTAATGTCTTTATAAGAGGGAGAGAAGAGTGTCAGAAAGTGAGACAGATTTGAAGATGCTATACTGCTGTCTTTGAAGATGAAGGAAGGGGACACGAATCAAGGAATACAGGTGGCCTCTGGAAGCTGGAAAAGGCAAGGAAATGTATTCTCCCCTAGTGCCTCTACAAGAACACAGCCCTACTGACAACTGGATTTTAGCCTAGTGACATTTCTGACCTACAGAACTGTAAGACAATTTGTGTTGTTTTAAGCCAGTAAATTGGCTGTAATTTTGTACAGTAGCAATAGGAAACTAACACAGCCTCCTAACTAGTTTCTCTGCTTTCACTTTTCCCCTTCTTCCTTTTAGCCTCAAAGCTACAATCCAAATGACCCTTTAAAAATGTAAGTAAGCCACATGAAGTTATCCTTCTGCTCACAATCTTCCAATGGTTTCCCATCTTAGGCAGTTTGGAAACTCAAAGTCTTCACGAGAACCTTACCTCTCTCATGTCATGTGCTAGTTTCCCTATGGTTGATTCCAGCCACACTGCCTCCGTGCTGTTCCTGTCATCATCTAGGCATACTCTAGCATTGCCACGTCTCCCTCTGGCCAAAATCAGTCCCCACATCTCCACTACTCACATCCTTTAGGTCTCCTCTCAAACATTACTTCTCAAGAAGACCTACCCTGAACATTCCATCCAAAATTTCGACCCCAACCCCAACACTTTCTATCTCTTCCCTCCCCTTAACGTTTGTTTCAATATAATATATATCTTACGTTGCCTGCCCGTTTCCAAGAAAGCTACAAGTTCTGCATTGACCACTGCTGCATCCCTGGCAGTAGGGACACTGCCTGGCACATACGTGGTCTGACAATTAAGTGCGCGAACTCATCCTAGCTAGAAGTGCTGCACACCTGATTGCTTAATTGTCAGACCTTAGGCACTTAGTGTTAATTGAATCAATGAACCATGTGAGGACTCTTAAAATGGTAGAGCTGCGATTTAAAAAGAGGAAAGGAAGATAGAAAAATAGGGGGAAAATAACCAAAACCACTAATGAATTATAAGGTAAATGTGATTCTCTTAAACCCTGGCCACATTTAAAACTTAGAACTTGTAGAATTAAACCACACGACTACCGAAAATGAAAACATTCTGGAGACGCAAAAAAAGCTAGTAGGTCATTTTTCAGTAAAGAATGCAACACAAAACGCCAGCCTTTTCTCGGCATTTCTTCCCGAAACACTCGCACCTGCAAACAAACATTTCGATATTCTAAAAAACTGTGGTTCTGACGTAGCAATACTGGAACTAAATCCGTACTCATGAAAGATGGAAATAGAAAGCCACGGAGCCGCCCGCACTCCCCCCACCCCCGGACCATTTTTAGGGCAAAATCCCTCGCAGCTGGGCCCACTGGGGCTAAAGCACGAATTGACCAGGGGGTGGGGGGAGGAAGATGCGGTGCGCGGAGCGCCACCCGCGAAGCCCCGGCCACAAACGCCTTATCTAGCGGCTGGGGCAGCATCGCAGGGATCTGTCAGAGCTGTCTAGGAAGCCAGATTTCTGCGCCTGTCCTTGCGGGAGTAAGAGGACACCGTTCCTCGCAGCAACACCTCAATTAGGAGCCTGCGGTGCGCAAAGCGGCCCCGTACTCCTCATGACACAGACCTGTACACGCTGCAGACCGGGAAAACAGCGGCGCGCTGGCTGCGCGGCTCCACGGCGGGATTTAGCCACTGGAGCCCCGCCCCCAACTTGCCTTCTCCCGACGGCGGGACTGTCCTGCACTCTCGCCTGCGGAGGTCTCGCCAGGGACTGCGGACCGGAGGATCAGTGGGCGGGACAATAGGGAAGGTGGTGCCCAATCCTGGCGGAACTCCGCCCACCTGGCTTTCTGCCGGAACTACATGTCCCATGAGGCTCTGGGCGACCGCAGCTTTCCACCGGAAAGATTTTCGCTGAAGTGGGGGAGGAGCCCAAAAGGGATTGTGGGAGAAAGGCTCTTTCCTTTCCGTCTGGCCGCAGCCATCAGGTAGGCTGTGAAGGGGATACTCGCGATTCCATCCGCCACTGATCTCCCTTCGCCTGGGCCATCCAGGCTCGGGGACCCTGCGTCCTGGGAGGTCCTCCTGCCTGCTGTATGGCGCGAGTTTGATCAAGATGCGGGGCAGCGCGGTTGTGTAGAGGCGGCCCCCGAGGCAGGCTGGGGGATGATGTGATGGCGGCGCGAATTCGAGCTGGGCCCGGAGCGTGAAGGAAAGGGAGGCGTGGGGCTGAGGGACAGGAGGCTGGGCCTAGGGTTTCCTGAAGCGAGCACGGTGGGTTGGGTGGAGTAAGTGCTTTTTCCTAGAGTTAACCGACGGCGGAGGGCAACATCTTCCCCTGTGGTGTCGGCGAGGTCTCGTTGCAGGCCCGGCCCTTGGGGACTCCGCCTGCCGCAGCCATCCGCCCCCTCAGGGCCCAAGTCTAGCTCCATTCATTCATCCAGCAAAAATGTGCCTTGTGCTCCCTTGCGCAGAGGTGACTGAGCGCTGCTTTCTGTGGGCGCATAAGAGGGGGTTGGGCCGGCTATCTCCCCTGCAGCTCGTGCAGAGCCATTTTCCTCAGCGGCTTCCTGGTGGCTGGTGGGGGAACTGAGATGGGCGGGGTCTTCTCATTGTACGTGAAACGGATGTTTTTTTAATACCTCTTAATCTCAAAGGTAAGCCAAGATGGGCGCTTACAAGTACATCCAGGAGCTATGGAGGAAGAAGCAGTCCGATGTCATGCGGTTTCTTCTCCGGGTGCGCTGCTGGCAGTACCGCCAGCTCTCTGCGCTCCACAGGGCCCCCCGCCCCACCCGGCCCGATAAAGCGCGCAGGCTGGGCTACAAGGCCAAGCAAGGTGAGGGGTCTGTGCGTGGGTTCTTGGGTGAAATTATAGTCTCCGGGGAGAGCTGGAAACCAGGGATGAGGAAGAGCTGTCGCCCCAATGTCTTCACACACGGCTTTGGCAGCAGTTGTCTTAAGCGATCAACACAGAAGTGTGGCTAACGTCAAGTACGTTGAAAGATACTGGGTTGTGTTCTTTCTTTAAAGCGAGTCTCAAACTGGTATTAGCTTTGCCTCCATCGGATATATAGTATTTGACTTGTGGTCTGAAATAGATTTGAAGTAGGAACAATAATGACAAGTCATTGAGTCTCCCACTCCTAATACCACTCTAATTTTTGTTTATAGGTTACGTCATATATCGGATTCGTGTGCGCCGCGGTGGCCGCAAACGCCCAGTTCCTAAGGGTGCAACCTATGGCAAGCCCGTCCATCACGGTGTTAACCAGCTAAAGTTTGCTCGAAGCCTTCAGTCTGTTGCAGAGGTAAGTGGTTTTTGAGAAGCATTTGTATTGATCACCTCCTGGAGATGGAGGATTTAAGCAACTTTTCTGATTGATCACTGGTGCCTAGGTGAGCGCTATTGTGTTTAAAATGGGGGTTGTGGTTTTTACTGATCTTGGTAAAGAGTTAGTGTCAAAGCCATTATCATTTATCAGTCTTTGTTACCAATCTGCGTGTGTGTGTGTGTGTGTGTGTGTGAATAGGAAAAGTGTTTTATGATTAGTGTGAACCTTTGGAACCCAAGCTTTTGAAGGGTGGTAAACTGTCTTGAGCACACCTAGGGTGTATAGAAGCTACATTTTTCGTATTGCCAATTTTCTTTGGTCATTTGTAAGTTATCTTTCTAGGTTAGTAAATTAAGCTGTGCTCTGTTGTATAAAAATTTGTGTAAAGCTGTGCTCTATAAAAATTGGCTGACCTCTGTTGCATGAGAAAAAGACAAGATTCCAGAATCCTAAATTCTGTTAGCCAGATATTCTCAACATTCATGCCCTTAGGGAGAGGGTAATATTAGGGCATAGTAAGTTTACCTTATCTCTCTTAATGGTCACAGCCTCAGTCTCTTGTTTAGTGGTGAATTAAAATTCTTCCTTAATTTGCTACCATGGGAAATATGAGGGGCTGATCTTAGGCCTTTTTTCCTCTTCTAGGAGCGAGCTGGACGCCACTGTGGGGCTCTGAGAGTCCTGAATTCTTACTGGGTTGGTGAAGATTCCACGTACAAATTCTTTGAGGTTATCCTCATTGATCCATTCCATAAAGCTATCAGACGGAATCCTGACACCCAGTGGATCACCAAACCGGTCCACAAGCACAGGGAGATGAGAGGGCTGACATCTGCAGGCCGCAAGAGCCGTGGCCTTGGAAAGGGCCACAAGTTCCACCATACTATTGGTGGTTCTCGCCGTGCTGCTTGGAGAAGGCGCAATACTCTCCAGCTCCACCGTTACCGCTAATATGAGTAATGTTTGTAAAATTTTTCCTAATAAACAATTTAGGACAGTCAACGTTTGCTTAAAAGTGTTTAATTTGTCTGTTAAAGCTAGTTGTCTGCAGATTGTTTTCATGAACACATTGTCAAATTATGAAAGTTAAAGTGCAATAATGTTTGAAGACTAAATGATGGTGTATCTTGTTTCTCATAAGGTAAATACGTTTTGTTTTTGCTTTATCTTATTAGGGAGTTGATATGTCAGTGTTTAAAATGCTGTGTGGTATAACAGGTATAAAATAAATTCTGTGAAAGGAGTACAGAACTAGCCATGTAGATTTGTTGGTGCATGTGATGAAACCTACAGCTTTATTGGTAATGCAGTGCTCTGTTGGTTTACTCAAGGGCCTGGTTTTTTTTGGAGTTTGGCAAGGATAGACATTGTAAATTGAATTTTGCTTGGAAATCGTGAAGGATATCCTAATCCATTCTTCAGGATCATGCAGAAAAATGAAAGCTGACTGGGGCTCACATATTCAGATTTAACCCAACATTCTGTTAATATAACTGCTGATTCTGAAAGAAAAGTTTAAAAGAATGCCATCATTAATTTTGCAAGGGGGTTCTCTTAAATGAAACATCCTGGCTAACCTTCACAAAGTTGGCTTGGTCTCCACAATACTATTGAAGTTCACAAAAGGTGGAGGCTCCTGGTTCAATCCCATGTCTCCATGGCTCTATAGAAGACTGAATTTCGTGCAACATAGTAATGGTAATTATACTGGTCTATATTGGAACTGAAGGAAATTGAACATAAAGTAAAAGAGAAGTATTAGCCTTAAGGTCATAATGTTAATTTGTGACCATTATGAACCTTCTAACCACCTTAGAGGAAAAACTGGTTGGCTTTATTGAAAAGCACTTCATTGACTTAGTTTAGTCGGTCTTAAAGTCATCTTGGGTCAACCTAGGTTCATTATTCCCATAAGGCAGGCTACTGGGAAAAGTTGTGCACTTGATGTCAATACAACTTCATGGTTTCCAATCCAACCTTAAGCATTGTGTAGTTATTTTTCATTTCTACTCAAACTACCCTCAAAATCTTTACCTTCCACAAAATTTCCAGGCCGTCAGTTGTGTCCATCTTAATATTAAAGTATAGACTAGTCTCCTGTTTCTCAGAGTGAATTAGAGTGTGTAGGAAATACAGAAGAATTGCCGTAGTTTGATTCCAAAATCTAATTGTTGGTTTCCTTGAACCAATTTTTCTATTTTCTTCTGAGGTCTTAAAAGTCTCAGTTAAATGATTTCCAGAAAACGTAGCAGACTCAAAACCTTGAGACCTAAATTCCTTTCCACTCAAAAATCTTAAACCATCTATTTTGTGTGTAGAGGTTGTTCAACTAAAGGAATAAAGTCTATTAAACTAAAACAAATGGATCTGTTATCTTTTGTCATCTAATACTAAACATGCTTTAGAGCTAGCCAAATACCCTAACCTGCAAAAAGGTATCAAAACGTGATGGCAGAAAGTCAGCAATTTGAGGGAGAGTGAAGTGTGTAGTACTTAGTCATTAGTGTTTTCTCTCTTGGTTCTTTGGCTCCTTGCATGAATTAGAAAAATTAAAGTCTTTTTCACATATTGGGGATGCTAATAACTTGGGAAGGTGAAGGAGGGTTCAAGCTAAAGGTCAGACTTAATCTGTCTCCAGGAAGGGCTTGCTGGTACCATTTTGTGACCCTACAGTTTTTGTCTACAGCAGCTAGAGGGATCCTATAAGTTGTTTTTTTTTAAGATTTTTATTGGGGAATTGGGATGGGAACAGTGCTGGGGAATTGGGGGAAGGGGAACAGACAAGTTGCTGTCCTTTTGTTCTTCAGTCTAGTTGTGGAGGACGTTGGCTTCACTGGCCCAAGTTGGCACCATCATTGCGCTCTTCCTGGGCGAGGCAGATCAGTCGCCGGCTTCTGGACGGCCATTCATGGCAGCTGCTGGCCGCTCAAGCTGGCTGCTGGCTACATACGGTAATCCATGGCAACCCTGCCACTGGGGCTGCAGACTACGCTGTCGCCGGCAACTCATGGCAGCCCAACTCCAGGTCTAGCTGCTGCTCACCATTGTAGTTGTAGAAGGCAGTGTCACTGGCCCTTGTGGGATCCAAACCGGGGCCCTGCTGCTCAGAGCTGGCGTCCCAAGCCAGCTCTTAACCAAAGCGCCACTCGGCCAGCCCTCTGCTCTCAAAATTCCTAATGGTGACTTGATGTAGAATAAGCTCTTGAAATTTCAACTTCATTTTATCCTTTCAATTCTAAGCCTTGATTCCATCTCTAAGTTCTGAAATACCTAAGGGGAATTAGAAGGTATATATTGTATCAGGCCGACTAACTCCTACAGTGACAACCCCCAAATCCCAGTGGCTTAAAATAATAATGGTTTGTTTCTTGCACATACTACATGTTCATTGAGGGTTAGTCATGGTCCTCACTCCAAAAACCAGGCTTTTGGAGTAACCACTATCTGGAACATGGATCATGGCA